TTCTTAATATCATTGTTTTAATTATGAATTATTATTCGTATTATTCAGATAAGTACAATGTGTCTGACCTACACGTAAATAAGTTTTCTTGTGGCATTTTTCATTTATATTAATGTTATTTAAATTGCCTCTCCGGTTTGACGAAAAAACGAATTCGAACAGTCTGGCATCACAGAGATTGCAACTATGTGAATACATCGATATTCCGTATCGATAGATAAATAAACATTCGTCATTGCATTTGGGGAAAATGAAAACAGCTAAGCTACGAGAAAGATATTTAATAGTATTTTAGAGATTCTCTACATACATTCGCGTTTGTTAACAGGCTCACTATGGACACAACCAAAACTGTAAAAAACTCAACAAATTCCTTAGCTAGCACGACTTCTAATTCCACAGACAAAATGAACTACGCATTGCAAGTGGCATTGCAGACAATGAAAGAGCGTTGCATACAATTGCAACGACGTGTTTCTAACATGGAGGAGGAAAATCAAAGATTACGCGAGGCTACTATTGGTTCGTCATCTGCCAATGGCAGTTCTCAGGAGAAAACAGACTGCAGTAACGACGTCTCGTCGCTACGCTCGCAATTAGATGAACTGCAGCGCCAAAAGGAACAGCTGGAGGATCAAATAAGCATGGTGTCTAACGAAAACCGAAGACTTTGGTCTCATCTGTCCAAAATATCCAAAGACCAGCAGCACGAATCGAAAGACGATGAAGTGGCCATGCCTGCTCGATGCTCTGGGAAAGTTTCAATTGGTGCCAATCAGAACCTCATTCGTTCTAAAACATTTACTCAGCACTCGCCAAATCCGCACTTGCGCCAGAAGATGATAACAGAGGTTAGTCTAGAGGAGATTCCACTGGACGAATTTGATGGTAGCGAGGTAGAACTAGGCTATCCATGTGGACTGAATGTGGACGACCCCAACACTGTCAACGAACTGGATACCAATTTCGATGCAAAGCAATGCATGGAAGGCTTGCAGGACTTGCGCCGTGAGGCGATGAAGCAACAGCAAGAGCTCAGTTCTGCCCTTTCACAGTTGGAGACGCGCATTGGTGAGTCGGCGATCTATACTCGATTCATCGAATGTAATATTTCATATTATTTTACCTTGCCACAGCGATGCATCCGTGTCCGGAGTGTGTGCGCAAGGCTGCCAACAAGCCGGAAATGGCTGATAAAAGCTTAGAGACTGAAGATAACACGGAGCCCAAACGATACAGCAGCAATGAGCACACAATAAGCCAAGTGCTCGACACAATCAACGGGCATTCAACATCGGTCGTGCCCGCTCCCCGCTTAAACTTCATCCAGGAAAAGCTGAAGGCTGATGCCATCGACAAGACGTGCCCCATGTGCGGCAAGCTATACTCCAGCCAAGTTTCGTTCAAAGCATTTCAGGAACATGTCGAAATGCACTTTATTGACGACGCGCTAGATGCGGATGGAAGCATGGAACGGCAGTTCGAGTTCGTTTCTCATGCAGTCGGTGATTTCTGACCCAACAAACTTATTTACTTTGCTACAGAGCTTTAGCAGCGACAAATCTAATTTGTTTCATAAACAATGCATTGTAAATTATATTGCAGTTGAACAGTGGTTGATAATGGAAATTGTATAAACTAAGAAAGCAAATATCAAAACGGTTTTAAGTTAGATTTATTACAATTTTCATTAGCATGTGCTGATTAGAAGTTATCTACGACAGTCAATGTAATTGTTGATGAACTTGCATAAGCATTATCTGCTAATAATGAATTAGACATTCTCGATGATAAACAAGAAGGCCACAAACAACATAGAGCAGATCGTTTATGCATAAGGTTGATACTTAGTATATATTTTATTTATCTTAATTTGTATTGTTGTTCCCAGTAGAATAACAATTTATGTACAACAAAGCGGTTATCATTCAATACAAAAATGTTTATCCATGTTATATATATTGTCTTCACAGTTCCATTACCGAGGCGAAAAAAATACAAAATTAGCTTTCATTGATCAGAAATGCCAGTGGATGTTCGAGTTGTCAATGTGATATGGAGCTGTAATTAATTATATACAGTGAATATTCAATTAAGATTTTTCTACTCGACAGAGACAGACTAGAAGATACCCCGTACCGTCTGTTACTCACAGAAAGATAATAAACTATGGCATCTAAATTTGTGAATATGAAAAGGCCAAATTGTCTTATGCTTCAAACAAAAGACTTTTGTTTTAATTACTGGGTTATTGGGGGAGGTAGCCCTTATTGACTATTTTCAATAATATTGTAATTAATATTGTAGTTCTCCTTAATAAAATATTAGAAGCAAATGGAGAAAATCTGTAAGCTTTTTAAAAAATGTATTATAAATTAATGCGCAAATATTTTAATACTTTTGAAATGCGAACGTAAAGGTTGTTGAACTGTTTGGCTCAAATTTAGATCTAATTCATGGCCTGCATGATTAAAATATGAACCAAATTTAGAGATCAAACTGGATGCTGAATGCAGGAATCCGTAAAATATGTTTAGAAATTCTTCACAGAATAAAGATGCACAGAGGTGCATAATATATTGATATTACTAACTAGAGAAAGTTATTCTTAATATATTAGTGATAACCATGTCGAAAATATTCGATAATCAAAATGC